ATTCGTTGAGCTACCACTGATAGGAATTATAGTGCTATTACTTGCTGCTATGATGAAGACCGAAACAAGGACAATATTTTGCGTGTAAGAGCATCTCCACCGCGCCAAGTAAATTGGCCAATCAGTAAATCCGTGTGCTGATTTACTGAAAATTTACTAAAATATTTTCGCACTGCACCAGTACCCGGTTCAGTACGTTGTGACCAGCAAATATTCCAGTACTACGTAGTAAAAGTCACACAGATTTGATGGACTTGTACTGGAGACATGAGGAAGCTTCTTCTCATGCAATACTTTACTCTTCATTCATCAGATTTCGTAGGCCCATAATACAAACATCAAGTGTGACGTAGGACAGCTGGCCTACATTTTCCCATTCACCGCTAAGTACCAACTGGTGGGCATACAATTGCTCATATTGCGATGATTTTTGCGATTTTGTAGGCCACACAACCAACGCCCAGTAATAGCATAGCTTATTGGATAAAATGGCAACGACGACAAACCTCCAGCGACAGGAGACATCGCTCGAAGATATCATCGACTCATGTCTAGCGGACAGTACAAAAGACAGATACGAGTCAGGCCTACGTCAACTCGTCACCATTCAAATACAATCATGGATGAATTTCAAAATATCTATATTGTGTATTTTAATTCAATTTAACCCACCGTATTATTATTGCATACAAATCACAAATATCGACTAAAGCAGCACATTTCAAGGTTAAAAAACGATCCGTGAATTATATTTCTACACCATACCCTTGGATCTTGGAAATTATACTGGGTTGCCAAGCAATAGAGAGGTTTAGCGAAGTCATTCCATTCCGCATCCATAGCGGCGCCCTGCCATATGGTGACAAAACCAGAGTTACCTCTTAAACATAATTATGGAAACTGTAATATTCAATGTATACTTCGCACAATTGGGCAATTGTATGGAATTAACAGTAAGTCCATTCCATACCATTTATGTTGCCTTTTGGGAATGCCGAGTATATGACACATTGACAGAAGAAAGTCGGACCGAATGTCCTGTATCCATTGATTGGTTATAAGTGCTTTGACCATGGCAGATGAACAACATAATGAGGTTTTGCCTGCAACCCGCCAGCTAGCAACGACAGTACAGTACAATACCTTAGAGCCTGGTACTACTGGAGGTGTGGTAGTAGTGATAGGTCTGGCTGTGGTGGTCGTAGGATGAGCAGTAGTGCTGCTGTGGTGGTGGGTGTGGATGTGGTAGTAGTGGTTGGTCTTGCTCTGGTGGTCGTAGGATGAGCAGTAGTGGTTGCTGTGGTGGGTGTGGCTGTGGTAGTAGTGATTGGTACTACTGGAGGTGTGGAGCATCCGCCAGAGGGAGGATCCCCCTGGCGGATGCTCCACACCACCAGTAGTACCAGCCTCTTAGGTACTGTACTGTCGTTGCTAGCTTGCTGTACAAGATCAAGTCGCGGGACTTGACCAAGAATCAAGGCAATATCTTGTGTGGGTGGAAGTTCGCGGTGCAGGAGTTCCAAAATGTTTGTAACAACACGATTGGTTCTGGTTTGGGTCGTCCCTACACCTCGGCCACGGCTATAGATAGCTGGATTGCATTTGGCACTATAATGGCCAATTTGCCATATCCTGGGGTTTCACTGAACTTGGAGGTCAGCTTCGTACAGTATGTCCCAAATGAAGATGATCACATTTGTACGCCTGGCTAGAAATCGTAGACGGGAGACATAAGTTGCTGTAATCCTGGTTTTTATGGCATTCCCGCATATACACCCTACTTAATGGATTGCACGGCACCCACATACAAAATTGTGGATGTAGGAGTGACTACAATGAAGTCGGAATTGACAGACTGTGACCCCAAATGATGCAGCAACAAGTAAAGGCAATATAATTATGTCGAATTTAAGCCAATCAGAATTGAGTCGGATGAGTTGTCCGACTTTATTCGATCACAACACAATTCTTCGTCACGAAGGACACGGCTTCGATGTTAGTGACGATGAAGCAGGTAGATCTGGGTGTTAAACAAGGTGCTCGAATATTCACGACATTCAAGCGTAAATCAGGGTGTATAAGCGTTGCCATCAGTCAACTACGTCAACTGCTGGGAAGTCTACTGGGACCTCGGCCTCAGCTTCTACTTGTCCTTGTGATGCTTGCCCCTCTTGTCCCTATATGATTGGAGAGGCGAGTAGCGCAATTACAAGGTGACGCTGATGGGTGGTCTTAGAGTCGCGCGTGGCTAACATCGGCGTGAACGCCATGTGATGTTGGTGACGGATGAATTTATATCATATCCGACAGCCCTAACCGGATGATTGTATGGATGCGGACTGGAATGATGCAAAACCAAAATTTCGATATTCCAGACCATCCATACAGCGATTATTGTCAAAAATATGCGGAATGGATGCGGTCTGGACAAGTTACTAAACCTCTCTAATAGCCCTTCAAAGTTTGGACCAAAATGGACCTAAAAAGTGTTCAGAAAATCGATCGGTTACCTTACTCCAAGTTTGCTGAAATTTTGGAAGTACTTCAGATTAGTATGAAACAGATTAGCGTCAAATTTCATCTCATCTGACTTGTGCTTTGTATTGAAATACAATGAGCATTTCCTATTGCCCGAGTATAATATGATTGTAAATTTGAATTAAAATTGTCGAAATACTATTCTCAATCACAAAGCTACAAAAACAGTTGCGAAATACTACTTGAAAAAAGTCCTGCAGCACCATGCGCCGCAGTACCGTACATACTTGGGCACTTAGAACGTCATTATCGACGCCAATTTGATCATGAAACGCAAGCACAACTAGCCAATACTACATACGTAGAAGTATTCTACCCATGAGTAAGGGCATCCCCAATGGTACGACGGTAAACGCTATTTTACCGTTTTTGGGTCAAATATGCAGTTTTGGCAGTCGCACCATTTGGGATGCCCTAAGAGCCCCAGAGGGGAGCAATTCCATCGTAACGTAAATGATCAATTTATGATCACTGTACCAATTTATGATCACTCCCTGTGAGCCAATCACATCGCATCACATCGCAGTATTGTTTCACTAGAAAGCCTCCAATAGATTATACAGCTTGAACGCGATACGTTACCATGTCGAATTATCCGGACATTCGACTTGAAATCCTTGTCCTGACCAGGAATTGCTCAGGGATCGACGACAGCAATGCAAGATGATACCTCTTGGTTGGGAACGTACCCCGAAAAGACAAGAATTCGCGCCTGAGCTGTATCCAATTGGTATCCAGTGTACAAACTCATGGTGCCTCCCTACAAACATCACGATCCAAGAACGCATACTGAAGTAGGATGTTTACTTCGCAGATAACCTATAAAATTGTCAATTGGTCGTCATGTATACTGGTTCTGCCGCGTCCGCAGAAGTGCGTCGTGTGCCCTTGGAAATGACCGAGGGCAAACCGCACCTATATAGAAGGTCGAGAACCGTCTGGTTTCGACGCGTGGCCGATATCGAGGACTGGTTAGGGGCGATTCACAGTAACAGCTTGCAGCGGAGCTTAGATATTTGAACCAATCACATCGCGTTCCAACGTTGCCAGCGAAATAGTTTCCTGGCTGACCTCAACAAGGCCATCTTGACCATTTCCAGCGTATCTTGCATAAAACACCATGTAATTGATAGTTTTGCATGGTCACAGTAATTATGAACAAATTTCATTGGTGGAGAGAAATCAATCATTGGTTGTTGACCTGTACACAGCTCGAGTTCCGATGCCCTTGGTCCTCTCTCACCATCATGCTGCCGCTGTGTGCGCCGTGCTTATTACAATCATGATGGTCACGCATGACGGCCGCAACGCTCCATCACAACGCATGAATCGATTCACTGTTTCAACAAGATCGCTGTGGTCCCGAGTGAAAACGAGTACTCACCATGGGGCGTGGTACAGCCGATACCTCCGATGCTCGGAGACATCATTCAATGCAATTGCACTCCGGATCCAGCACCATTGGCCAGTCATGTATGGCCCACTGCACCACCATACGCCGCACAGTGTCCGAGACAGGGTGGCGATAGCACTCTTTTACATGACCCACTGCGATGGTTACGACTGCACGGGTCAAGTGTTTGGGATATGTCGCACCCTCGCATTGCGCTGTACAACACAAATTGTGCAATTGCTTGTCAAGTGCTGCCTGGTGGATACTATTACATTTCCAAAGTCCGACGCTGGGTGGCGTGCCCAAATGGATGGATTTGAGGCCATAGCCGGGGTCCCTTCGGTTTGTTGCGCAGTGGATGGGACGCTCCTACGTGTTCGACGGTTTACAGACCACGAAGGTTGGTATTGTCGAAAAGGCTTCCCAGCCTTCAATGTCCAGGCGGCGGTTGATTGTCGCAAACGCTTTTTGTCCGTTTCGATCAAGCCAGGGTCCCAGAACGATCGCGCCGTCTTCAGAGATTCCATTTTCGGCGCCACCCGTGTTGTTCCGTCTGGCGGCATCATTCTTGGTGATGCTGGCTACACTCTCCTGCCCCACATCATGACTCCGTTCCCAATTGTTGAAGACATGGACGACGACGAGTCGCACTACAACCTCTTGCATTCCAGAACTCGTATGGTGGTAGAACAAGCATTTGGGTTGTGGAAGGCAAAGTTTAGGATCTTTAAGAAGGCTCTAGAGCAAAAGGATCCTACTACCATGGCTGCTATAGTCCAAGCAACGATGATTCTCCACAACTGGATGATTGATCTACGCGAGGATGAAGAAGAAGTCAATGTTCATGATTGGATGCATATTGCCGGGGACGTTGTATTCCCTGCAGAGATGTATGTTATCGATGGCAATCGGGCTAAAATAGCACGTGATAGTTTGAAAGAGTATCTAGCAACACATATTTCTTCGTAATAAATTCATACAACCGAAAATTTCCCGTCGTCACACTTCCACAGAATTTGCTACTATTAGTAAAATTTAATGTGCTATTGTTGCTCGGCAACAAAACGGCTCTCAATAAGTGCCATAAGTTGAGTTTGAATCTCAATATTCTTGTCCACACTTTCCTTGAGATGAATAAGAGCATCTCCAATCGATGCTGAATGATCAACGTTTCGACCTGAACTTGCAAGACCCTTTGCAAGGCTCTCACCCAACGAAACAATAGATGCTGCCATGTCCATCTTCTTGGCTCGTTTTTCTCGTTGGCGGTTGACTTCGCCCTGTCGTCTATCCACATTGGTTGCGCGCTTGGATGTCGATGACATCATGCCGCCGTCTGCTTCTTCATTGTCTTGTTCAATGCTGTCCAGGTTGTCATGTTCGGTGTCAGAGTCGAAGCCGGAGTCGATCGTGCGATTACGAGCACTCTCCTCTGTCGAATCGAGTGCTGCGTACTCCACGTTTCCCATACCAGTCTTGGCCGCTAGCCAGCTCTGCAGGTCCGACCAGTAGGGAGGCTCTACCACGCTTGACAATGAGTTGCCAGTTTTCGCCAAGTCCTTGCAGATGGTAGCATACTCGATCTTGAGCTTGTGGTACTTTGACTTTGCCTTCAGTCCGGTAACGGATTGGTAGCAGTCCAAGTTGATTGCAAGGGCGATCTTTCCCCACGTACGTGACAGCTGCTTGGCGCTTTTGGATCCTTTGAATGCATGGTCGTGCGAACCGCATCGGTTCTGTAACAACGCAACCACCATGGCTGTTGTCCACACGAGCTTCTGAGTTTTCGTGCCGTGGGGGACCTTGGATGGATCAGGTGATACTGGTTTCACACGTGGTTTCTCAGGTCCGGGATCAGTGGAAGCAGTGGTGGCATGAGAGGCCTGTTGGGCGAGGAACTGCTTGTAG